TTTGTTGCAGGTGGGCGGAGGCGGAAGGGGGGACGGGGAGGGGAGGGGAGGGGAGGGGAGGGGAGGATCTATCCATCTACCAAACTCCATCTATCTGTCTGTCTCTATCTATCAATTTCGCTGTGTCTCGGACATTGTACACCCACCCAGGTCTTCCGATGACTGAACGAGACCTTTTCATGGTCTTTTCCTGCTCAGCGGCTGCTCATCATCAGCCTGTTGGGTGTGGCTGTTTTCCTTCCTTCCTGCTGTCTGCCGCTCCACCTCCTTCTGTTGTTGTCGGAGTCGCAGTCGTTGCTCCTGTGGCCAGCAGGTCCGCTTTTCGCTTCTCGAAGGCCTCTGCTCTTTCAATAAGTCGTTTTCCGAAATCCTCTTTGGCTTCGCCACGTGTCACGAAGCACGTGCCGAAGAGCTGCTCCATCGATGCTGAGTAATCTTTCCACACCTGTCTCGCCTCCACTAGCTCAAGGTCATCCACCGTGTTCACACTGCACAGGTGTTCGTCGACGAAGACGTCCTTCAACAGCCGTTCTCTTGCCGTTGCCAGGAGATGATTCAAGCCGCCATCTTCAGCAGGTGCACGAGCAGCAGAACCCGAACGAGAACGGGAAGCAGGACCAGATTCAGAAGCAGGCGGAGGAGGAGCCCGCGAGCCAAGCGGTCCAGTAGCAGGTTCCTTCGGTAGGGAACACACTGCACCATACAAGAAGAGCTTCTCTGACACCATCCTCTTCAACACAAACAGCCCATCGAAAGCCTCTCTCACTCTTAATTCGTCAGCCAGCCGCTGTAATTGCCTCATCTCCTCTAGAGATATGTAGACCAACACGAGGGGATTACAAATCTGGGTGCCGTGAAGGGTGTATATAGCGAACAACACCCCCAGGCGCATGAACAGAGACGCTCCTGGAGCCAGATTCTTTAACGCCGTTCCATATAAGCTTTGTAAATAAGCCTCGCTCGGCATTCCCTTTGGATTGCCCTCGTGAATGAATGAGAAGCGCCGCTTTCTCCATACGTCTTTGAAATCGGCAAATTGCAGGGATGCCTCCTTTTCAAAATCCGCGAGCAGATCTTCCATGTCCAAAATATAGCCTGGCTTGCCCATGTCATCAGTCTTATCCATCACCCCTCTACCAGGTGAGTTGTGGAGTTATTAGTATTAACCTGTGCAGTACAGCAAACTCACACAGTTTGTTTGTGTTGTGTGCTTGGAGTGGAGTGCCGACTTACCGCAGTCTTTTTTTTTTTTTTTTTTTTTACCGCAGTCATTATTATTAACCTTATACAACACGCATAGAAATACTATTACAAAATCATTAGTAATTAACTGGATTTAATTGCAAGGTTAAAATAATGAGCGCGGTGTAGTCTAACTAACCCCTTGCAATTAACTGTGTAATAGCAGCGCACAGGTTTCGCAATTAGCAAAACGGCAAGCTAGAGATTTAGAAAGAAAAGAAAACGGAAAAAAAAAAAAAAAAAAAAAAAAAAAACCTACAGTAAGAGGTTTAGGACAAGCCGCCTACTGCGCAGTGACTAGAACTGAAAAAAAAATATTATTTTTTGCTCACGTACCCCCCGCCCGGAGCGTCCTCTCAGTGAACAGATCCTGAGTTCGAACCCCCGTGTAATCAGATTAAAAGGAGGAATGACCGCCCAGCCTACTTTGAAGTGGAACAGTTCTAAAATATTTATTATTATTTCTTGAGTACGTAACCCGTGTGGGTGAATGAGATTGATATACATTGAAAAAAAAAAAAAAAAAAGATTGATATACACACATGTCATGTAGGTAGGGGTTAATAAATAATAAGAAACAGATCAGGAGTTCGAATCTTTGTGCAATCAGATCGAAAGCATAAGCTTATGAACAGATCATGAGTTCGAATCCTCTTATGCAATCAGATCGGAATAATAAGGTTACGGGTTGGGATCTGGGCAATGGAAGTATGGATTCAGACACCAGCGAAACTGGCTAATGGGTAAAAAAAAAAAAAAAAAAAATTGGCTAATGCTGCCCGGATAACCCCGGAGCCGTGGTCCCATTAGCAAAGAGCATAGGATTGAATGCCTGAATCTGGACGTGTTTGAGGGCAGGTGCAGGAAATCGAGATAGAACTGCTTTTCTGTATCTCTGCATAAAACATAGCCAGATTCAGGATTTCTATCCTATCCCCTCTGCTAGTGGGACCACGGCCCGGGTGGAATTGGGAGGTCTCCGGCCTCGTCCGGTTGATTTTCTAATATGAATTGATTTGTTCAGGGGGGAAAAAAAAAAAAAAAAAAAAAAAGAAGAAGTACTGGATTACTGCTGCCAATAATTCCGCCATTCCTTCCAGCAGGTGCAGCTCCCCACCAATAGAATGGAGCATTTTTACATTTAAAAAAATTGAAATTGAAAAAAAAAAGGGGGGGGGGGGGGAAAAAAATTTTGCAAAAACTGAAAAAGAGCGGTGGTCTTTTTTTTTTTTTTTTTTTTCAGTCAAATTTAGAAAAGCAACCGCTGACAGTAAAAGTAGCATGGGCCCGACTCACAGTGATTCGTAATTACCGAGGGTGAAAATGAGACGCCCGAGCCTCTTCTTCTCGACTGGTACGGCCAAGTTTGAATATGTTTTATTTTTTATTTTTTTTGTTTGGAAATTTTGAAGTGGTACCACTACCACAAGTGCGCAGTTATTAAAAAAAAAAAAAAAAAAAAAAAAAGCGCAGTTAAGGGTTGCTCAAGTAAGTACCGGGAAATTTGAAGCTGAAATATTTTTAAGTTGGAAAATTCGAAGCTGGAATTTTAAGTTTGAAAATTCGCAGCTGAAATTTTTTAAGGTGGAAATTTTGACGTAGGGTACAGCAAGTGCCCAATTTAGTGTTGCTAAAGTTAACACCATGCTGAATTTACTGTTGTCCAAGTTAATAATAGTAACAGAGTGTTCCATTACTTTTGTTAATCTTTACCATCGCTCTCAAGTTTACCGTTTGCTCAAGTTTACCCCGTTTGCTCAAGTTTACCGTTCCCGTTCTCTCAAGTTTACCGTTCCCGTTTGCTCAAGTTTACCGTTCCCGTTCTCTAGAGTTTACCGTTTGCTCAAGTTTACCGTTTGCTCAAGTTTTACAGTTCTCTACAGTTCACCGTTTGTCCAAATTTACCGTTCTCTCAAATTTACCGTATGCCCAAGTTACCGTTTGCTCAAGTTACCGTTTGTTCAAGTTACTGTTTGCTCAAGTTACTTTTGTTACTTTTGTTACTCAAGTTTACCGTTTGCTCAAGTTAACTTTGTTACTCAAGTTTACCGTTTTCTCAAGTTACTGTTCGTTCAAGCTACTTTTGTTACTCAAGTTTACCCCAGTAAACCCTGGACTGGCCGGCAGACGGTATTGGTAGGCAGAAGAGTAAGAAAGACAGAAGCTGTCGAGTCTGTGGTGAATGACAGACGTGTTTTTCTTAACCCACTCTGGGACCGAGTTAACCAGCTCTGCCTGCATACGGTTAAGCCTGCATAGGGTTAAGCCTGCCCTGCCTGCATGCCTGCCTGCATGCCTGCCTGTACTGATCGAAACTGCAAAAGTGATGAATTGGGTGCGGTTCCAACCCTTCTAGTCCACTGACTCATTCCAGTTGAGTTCTGTATTTTGGAAGCTTACGCATTGAACTTGGGAAACCTAAAAAAGAACCCAAAAAAAAAGCTAACCAAATACCCGGAAAAAAAAAGGGTAGCCACCACGACAAAACCTATCAGAAATTTCGCAATATAGCCACACAAAAAAAAAAGAAATGCAATTCCAGTCTCAATGGCACGGCACTCACACACGCGGATCAGGAAAGATATCGATCGAGAGATGGATTGGACAGACCGATTCAATCTAAAAGATGGATGGACAGATGGAGATATATGCACCCAAAGATGGATGGACAAATGTATGGACAGATGTACGGACAGCTGGACGGATGGATGGACAAATGTATGGACAGATGTACGGACAGCTGGACGGATGGATGGACAAATGTATGGACAGATGGACGGATGGATGGACAAATGTACGGACAGATGGACGGATGGATGGACAACGGATGGATGGATAAGACACAAGGACGGATGGATGGATGGATGGACGGACAGATGGACGGATGGATGGATGGATCAAACAAAAGGACGGAGGGACAGATGGACGGACGGATGGATGAGAAGATGGACGAATGGACAGATGGACGGATGGACACAGAGAGAGAGAGAGAGAGAGAGAGAGAGAGAGAGAGAGAGAGAGAGAGAGAGAGAGAGAGAGAGAGGAAAAAACGGCGAGAGAGAGAGATGAGAGGTAAAGAGAGGGAGGGGGGGAAAGATAGAGAAGCAGAACGAAAGATTTCGTCATGCAAGAATGTATACTGCTCCTCCCCCTCCTCCTCCACTCCTTCTCCTCCCC